CAAAAGAGCAAATATGTCTTGGAGAAGATGCAACCAGGGTGTTCCTTGGAAACAAGGATAGTAAAACTTCATCTCACATACCTTGGACATGTTGTTGTGAGGAGAAGCCCATCCTTAGAAAAGGACATTGTGCTTCAGAGGCTGTAGGGTCAATGAAAGAGAGGAAGACCCTCAAGGAGATGGACTGATGCAGTGACTGTAGCAGTACCGTGGCCTTGGGTGTATCAAGGATTGCAAGGATGGCACAGGATAGATTAGGGTTCAGGCGTGTTATTCATGAGTCATGATCGACTCGATACCAAACAACAACAACAACATTCAACATTTTGCATTTAGAGTAGTAAAAAACCCCATCCACTATGTGACTATTTTGTGCATTATCAAGGCTGTGCCAAGAAATCTGGAGGACAACTACCTGGCCAACTGACTGACAAAGATCCATATTTATTCCTATTTAAAAAAAAAGGTGACCCAACAGAGTATGGTAATTATCATAATATATCACTCATATCAAAATATCAAGCAAAATAATCCTGCTGAAGATGATCCAGAAATGTCTTGAACAGTACATTGACAGAGAACTACCAGAAATACAAGCTGGGTTTAGAAGAGGCCATGGCATTAGAGGCATTATTGCCAACATCCAATTGAGCTTTGCAGAAAGTAAAGGGTACCAGAAGAATATCTATTGGTGTTGCATTGACTATACAAAGGCATTTGACTGTATTGATCACAATAAATTGTTGTTTAGAGGAGAATGGGAGTCTCAGAACGTTTGGTTGTGCCTAAGCAAAACCTATACTTGGGCCAGGAAGCAGTCCTCAGAACAGAGAGGGAGGTACTGCATGGTTCAAAATCAGGGAGTGTGTCAGGGATGCATCCTGTCTCCATACCTTTTCATTCTATATGCTGAACAGATCATTTGGGAGGCTGGACTCTATGAGAAGGAATATAGCATCAGGATTGGAGAAAGACTTATGAACAACCTGCATTATGCAGATGATACAACCTTGCTCACTGAAACTGAGGAGGACTTGAAGTGCTTGCTGCAGAAAATTAAGGACTGTAGTCTTCAATAGAGATTGAAGCTCAACATCAAGAAGACAAAAATTCTCACACTGGGCCAATTGGCAGCACCATGATGGATGAAGAAGAGATTGAGACTGTTAACAGTTACAGCTTGTTTGGCTCTACTATCAACACTTTTGGCACCAGCAGCCAAGAAATCAAAAGGCAAATTGCATTAGGAAAATCTGCTGTCCAGGACCTTTTCAAGGTACTGAGAAGCAACAGTTTCAGTCTAGAGACTAAGATGTATCTGATCCAGTCCATGGTCTTCGCAATTACTTGCTATGCATCTGAAAGCTAGACAATAACTAGGGATGATAGAAAATTGATGCCTTTGAGCTGTGGTGCTGGAGAAGAGTCAAGAAAATAAATAAGTCTGTCTTGGAGAGGGTGAAATCAAGTTTCTCCTACGATCCTAGGAGGCTAGGATTTTGAAGCTCCATTTTACATACTTTGGGCATGTAGCCAGGAGGACTGATCCTTGGAGAAGTACATCATGCTTGGAAGGGTGGAGGGGACAGCTCAGGAGAGGAAGACGCTGGATGAGATGGGTGTCAAAGTCAGTGAGACCGGCTCAGGACAGGGCAGGCTTCAGAACTATTGTACATAGTGTTGCTATGAGTCGCAGGTGACTCGATGGCACATAACAACTTGGCAATAATGAATACAGATGTCTAAGGCAGGAGTATAATGCTAGTTCCCAAAACACTATGCGTTAACTAATACTAAGCATATTAAGACAGTGCAAGAGAGGAAGACCCTGGAAGAGATGAATTGACTCAGCGACTGGGGTAATGGGGGTCGGTGTGTCAGAGGCATTAAGGTTGGTTCGGGATAGAGCAGAGTTCAGAACTGTTGTACAGGGTCACTATGAGTTGCAACCGACTCAATAGCATATTAAAAACAAGTGTATTAAGACTATGTGTCAACCTGGCTAGGCATAATTCTCAGTGATGCTCTAGTTAGGCAGTGATGCAATCTGACAGTTACTATGTCCTTTTTGCACCAGTAGTATGCACCTTCTAACTTGGTCTGTCAGTTGTTCCCTCACCACTGGGAGATATTTTCCTAAGCACTGCTATGCTTATTTATTTTCATTATGTTTCAGTAAAACAGTCAACATAGAGTGTTTACCAAGACAGTCTTCAAGGGGAGGGAGAAGTTGGCATACAAATGTAGAATTGTGTGCTTTTTGTGTAATAATACATTAAATATTGATGAAACTTAGCAATTATTTAATGATAGGGTTTAGAAGTTAATGTGAGGATATTTAGTCATCCTCCACTTTGTCATGGGAAGTGATCATTTTCTGTGTTTGCATAATGCTGATTTTTGCATAATGACATGATCTTGGACCCTGACCACACCAAGAAGTGTTTATATGAACTCTCTTAAATTCTAAGATAATTGAAGGGCAAGGGTCAACTTACCCACTTTTCAGTTTATACTTATTCAGCACCTTCTGTGTATCATTTAGTGATGCAAATAGTTAGCAGTTTGAGGCTACTGAAACACCTCAGAAGGCGAGAGGATATGCTTTTCAAAGGGTGACAGCCTTGAAAACTATGGAGTGCGGCTCTGCTCTGAATTAAGAGCTGCACATGGACTTCCTGTGAATCAGAACTGACCTGTTGTTAACTGGGTTTTGTTACTGTTTATGTGTCATAGTAAGACATATACATCATCATGTATATCTTCAGGAAACTAGGAAAGGTGCAGGGATTGACTGTTGTGCTAGCAGTCAACTCTGACTCTAAGTGACCCTACCACATACAACAGACGAAATGGAACACTCCCCCATTCGCACCATAATCAATATTGACTCCTATTGGTAAGAATTGCCCTGGGAAATTCTGCTGTCAGAGACCTCTCCAGAGTACTGAAGGGCAATGATGTCAGTCTAGAGACTAAGCTGTACCTGGTCAAGGCCATGGTCTTCATGATTACTTGCTATGCATCAGAAAGCTGGTCAACAACTAAGAATGATAGAAGAATTGGTGCCTTTGAGTTGTGGTGCTAGAAAACGGTATTGAATATACCATGGACTGCTAGAAGAAGAAACAGACTCATCCTTTAGAGGGTGAGACAGGTTGTTCCTTAGAGGTAAGGATTCTGTAGCTTCTTCTGACACACTTTGGACATTTTGCAAGGAGGTACCAGTCCATGGAGAAGGACATCATGATTGGAAGAATGGAGGGACAGCACAAGACAGGAAGACCCTGGATGAGATGGATTGACTCAGTGACTGGGATAATGGAGGTAGGTGTATCAGAAACAATGAGGTTGGCTCAAGACAGAGCAAGGTTCAGAGCTGCTGTACATGGGGTCGCTATAAATTGCAAGAGAATCAACAGCACATAACAACATTGGTAAGAAACTGCACTGTATTCCCAAAGGCACATGGTTTCAAATTCACCAGCTGCCCCAAGTGAGGATAGACAGTCTATTCCCGTGTGATTTACTGTCTCTGAAAACCTTTACAGGATCAGCTATGGGTTGGTTTCCACTAGACACACACAACATTATGAGGATAGAAAGCACTGGTGGCTTACTGGTAAGGGGTTGTGCTGCCAATCCAAAGTAAAGTACATGCTTTGAATCCCACCAGCTGCTTTGCAGGAAAAAGATGGGCAATCCCCTCCTGTGCTGTTTCCTGCCTCTGAAAACCTGCTGGAGGATCAACTATAGATCTGTTCAAATTGTACAGTAATTAACAACATTAGGAGGATAGTGCATGACAGGGTAACATTCAGACTTTTTTGTTCATACGGTGGCTATAAGTCGTCATGGACCTAACATGGAACTAACAATTAGGAATCGCTAGCTTGTCAAGGGACACCAATGATAACAGTAAGAGAACATTTTAAGAAAAATTTTAATTAAGCTGGGCTTTTAAGGATATTCATAAAGTGCCTGGTGCCAATGTGAAGCACTGGGTGCTAACTGAAAGGTCAAAGGTTCAAATCCACCAGTAGTTCAGCCCTGGAGATTTGCCATACTGACAACTAGCTACCCTACCATGAGTTTCTGAGGCTATAAACGGCAAGAGAAAAGATTGCTAGTGTATTCACACCAATAGAAAGACATCTCTAGAGAAGCAGCGCAATTGTTTAGGATTACAGTCCTAGAGCACCGAGCTCTGGTGGCCGCGATTACAGCCTGGGAAATCCTATGGAACAATTCTACTCTGTCCTGTAAGGTTGCTACAGAGTCGGAATTGACTAGACTCCACACAACAGGAATACTGATGCGAGGATAAAGATGGGAGGTGGGAAGGAAGAGTAGTGAAAGCTTACATACCTCTCAAAATCAAGGGATACACTATCACAGAGCTTCACTCATACTGTTAAGTATTTTCTTGATGACATTATCATAACATGTATATCGGAATTTTAAGTAAAGCCTGAAGAACTACTGATAAACCAAGATCCAGGACTTACGCATTTTTATTTATCTGAAACCACCACTACAAATTGTGCCATTGAGCCTGAACCGATCCCACAGGAGATTCTCTAGCTGGTTTTCAGAGGCAGTAAATCGCAAGGGAGAAGATTGCCCATCTTCTCCCACAGAGCAGCTGGCTGATTCCTTTGGGATTGCAGCGCGGCTGCTTACCATTAGGCCACCAGCGCTCCCTGCCACTACAAGTTAGTAGTGTATTTCTACGCCTTTCTGTAGCGCTTCACTAAACTCTGTGATTCCTGAAGTAGCAAAAAGCGCCCCCAACGGCCACGAATGCAAGAAGCTCTACTTTCCTCACAAAGACTACAGCCCACCCAGTCGGCGCAGGCGTTCTGCGAATCTCTGAAAATGTCATCATCCCGTCTTCTGGGGAAAGGATAGGTCGACGCATGCGCAGCGAGGATGCGCAGGACTTCTGTCACGCTGCGGGCGGCGGTGACGTGATGACAGAGGAAGAGGCGGTCAAGGAACGGAAGCCGGGAGGGAACGAGGGCGGAAGGGAACCGAGGCTGGGGTTGTGTTTGGAGCCTTGGCGGGGCTGGGGTTCCGATGTGGTTCCCGGAGCGGGAGGCTGAGGCCGCGGCCGGGGGAGATCCGGCGGGCCTACTGCCCCCGGAATGGGAGGAGGATGAGGAGCGCATGTCCTTTCTGTTCTCCGCCTTCAAAAGGAGTCGGGAGGTGAACAGCACCGACTGGGACAGCAAGATGGGCTTCTGGGCGCCCTTAGTGTTGAGCCACAGTCGCCGCCAGGGGGTGGTGCGTCTGCGTCTGCGAGACTTGCAGGAGGCCTTTCAGCGGAAGGGCAGCGTCCCGCTGGGGCTGGCCACGGTCCTGCAGGACCTGCTGCGGTGAGGGGGCGGGCCGGGGCCGGGCCGGGCTGGGGGCGGGCGCCGGGGCCTCTCCCTGCAGGCGGGGACAGGGTCCTGTTCGCTGACAGCACACCTGGCCCAGTCTGGCACAGAGTAGGTGTTTAGCTTAAAGTGGAAGACTAGGAGGTTGGACTAGGTGTGCTTAAAGGGAGAGAGAAAAAAAATGTGGGGTGCCTAGGGACCGGAATACCCCAGTTAGGTGGCATCCCGATGATGAAAGACCATTGTGGCACAGGTGACAGATCTGGCAAGGATCCTTATTTCTTAGGGGTCATCCACATTTAAATTATTACTAAAACAGGTTTGTGAGGGGAAAAAACTTATTCAATTAAGAGGATCCGAGCTAAGAAGAAGAGTGTGGTAGTCTTGCCAACAATGCCCTGGCATACCTATCCTGGCATGTCCTTGGCACGTATCATTTGGAGCAGAGAGGGCATGAGAATGAGGGCTTTTCTGAGTACCTTGGTGAGAAAGTCCTGTAGGTACAATAGGTACAATGTTTGAAAGCTTTTCTGAGGAAATAGCATTGACGTGCAACAGAGGTACACTTTGCAGGTATTTTTCTTATACTCTTTCATCTGAGCCGCTCAGCAGAGCTGTGGGTGAGATGATAGTGTTATCCTGAACAGACAGAAGAGGAAGCTGATCTTCAGAGGGGTCAAGTGTCTCATTAAGGTTACACAGCTAGTTACAGGTCCTAAGAATGCAGCCCAGGACTTCTGTTTCTGAATCAATTATACTATACATGTCATACCAAGGCTAGTCTAGCATAGTACTTTGCTAAGTGCATGTAAGGGTAATTGAAACCTTGATGTTTGTTTATTGGTTTGTTTTTGTAATTTGTTTCTCTTTTTAATTAAGAACTGTATGATTTCTTCACTACTTTTATTCCCTATACTTTTTCATTGGTTAAGGATCCTTGGTGATGCTATGAGTTAAGTTCTCAGCTACTAACTGAAATCATTCCAAGGAAAAAGATATGATGCTCTGTTGTATAGAACTATGAGTTAAAAAAAAAAAAAAAAGAACTATGAGTTAAAATTAACTTGACAGCAACACTGGCATTTTTTGGCTTGGTTTTTTTTCTGTTGTTTGATATTGATGTGGTAAGACTTTCTCTGAAATTTGTAAGAAAGTGAACTTTGGAGAAAGTTTTGATTCATACTTGAAGTGAGGAAGGAGGAGGGGAGATTGTGGCCAGAGAAGTCAGTGAGAGACAAAACCAGTCTTCCTTGTTCCAGCAGAATAATTATTGATGACTTCTGATCCAGAGGCCGTTAATGTCATTTTCATGAGTTCTCTCTATAGTCAAGGAAAGCTACTCACTGAAGTTTCTTGATGCTTGACTGTTTTTGGCATTTGAAGAATTTCTTAGGAAGCTACTACCTCTTGAGGAAGCATCAGGGGCCCAAGAACCTGGGCTACCACTTCCAAAATTATATGATTGAAAAAATTCCACAACTTCGTTAAGCCTTTATTTAAGCAATTATAAACAACAGTGATAATTGTATACTGAGGTTTATTGTGAAGATTTGAAGAGATTCTTTATGAAGTGCCTGCCTGGTCTTTGGTAAACAAACATTCAGCAAAGTTAGCTGCTGTTATTATTACCAGTACCATAAAATTCTAGCTTTTCATTATCACCCTAGATTACTGATTGTACGAAGCCCCTTTCCTGAATCCTTGTATTCATCCTAAATGTTTTGCGTTGGGAAACAGTCCACTATGTTACTCTCATTTTATTGTTTTGAACTGAATTTGTAAAAGCAAATTTCAACCTAAGTCCTATACCCTCCCATCCCTCTCTTACCTTACTGGAACTTGCATGTTGGAGCCAGACAAATCCTAGTTTAGATTTAGTCTCCTTACCTTGAAAATGACATCTCAGAAAACCCTCTCAAACTCATTACTGTCAAATGAGAACCGACTCGTAACTGGCCCTCCTACAGGCTTTTGAGAGACTGGGAATTGTACTCGCAGTGATTGCCCATCTTTCTTACAAGGAGCCACTGGTGGATTTGAACCACAGCACAGCACAACTCTCCACCACCTATTCCATCAGAACTCCCTAATCACTTCTCACTCCCACTGTGCTCTCATTAATTAAAATGCTGGTGCCACTATTTATCTTACAGACTGCTGTCGGCCTTAGAGCTGGAGCATAAAAACAGTGCTGCACATCAACTTATTGTCATTGAGTCAGTTCCAACTCACAGCAACCCTCCACTAAGTTTCTGTAAATCTTTTTGAGAGGAGACTTCCTAGCTTTTGTTCAGGGAGTGGCTGGTGGATTTGAACTGCTAACCTTTTGTTTAGTAGCCCAACACATAATGCACAATGCCCCAGGACTGCATATAGTAAAAACCCAGTAAATGGTAGTTATGATGGTCATAAGGAGCTCTGGTGACATCATGGCAAAATGCTCAGCTGCTAACCAAAAGGTCAGTAGTTTGAAACTCATCAGCTGCTCCACAGGAGAAAAATCCTGGCAATCTGCACTGGTAAATATTACAGCCATGGAACCCCATGGAGCAATTCTGTTCTGTCATATAAGGTCCCTCTGAGTTGGAATAGAATGGATGGCACACAACAATATGATGAGGATAACTCTCCTCTCTCGTAGTGAGAGAATAAAGTGTGAGAGGTGGCGTCTAGGATTAAACATTGCATTTAGTACTTTTGACATGTCCTCTCTTTCTTTCCCTGCAGTCGAGGGGAGCTACAGAGGGAGTCAGACTTCATGGCCAGTGTAGACAGCAGCTGGATCTCCTGGGGAGTTGGAGTCTTTCTGCTGAAGCCCCTCAAGTGGACTCTTTCTAACATGCTGGGCGATAATAAGGTTCCTGCCGAGGAAGTACTTGTGGCTGTGGAGCTGCTTAAGGTGGGTATTAGAAGGGAGCGTTCTGGGCATCATCTGGTTTGATGACAGAATCCTCCACATTCTTTATATTTCCTGGAGAAAGATTGTACCTTTTTACATAATGATAGAACTAATAGCTGGATTTATCTAAATTATATAGACCACCCTTATACTGTACGGTGCACATTGTTAGTTGGATTTTTACATTTTAAGGGTAATCCTTTGTTTAGGAACTATAAGGACTTAAGTTCACTTTTCTAGGCATTTATTTATAGTCACTAATAATAAGCTAAAGTTTAGAACATGCTTTGTCTTCTGTCATTTATTGACAAGAATTTGTCAAGATTTCTGAGGATTTTGTGACTTTGTACTTTGCTATCTCCTAAATCAGAAAACTAGGTGCAGATTTCCTTCTCTGACTAGAAATCTCTCCACTCTCCGCTCACTGATGGCCTTGCTTCTGCAGTCTCTCACTCTTCTTCACTTCTCATGTCTTAAAGAGACACAGAGTCTTGATTCATTGGTACACGGTGTTGGTCAGTCATCCGTCTTCTGTCCTGCCTTGATCATGGGATCACAGTATATTCATTCTTTTTCTCCAGCACTGCAATTCTAGTAATTCCTTATTGATGTACTGCTGAAATAATTTTGCAATTATCTTCACTAAAATTTTACAGCCTTGTAATAGTTACAATTTTGTTTGAGAATTTCTGCATTCTGCTGAATCATTTTTATTTGGGAAGGTAGTAAAACTATTTACCACTAGGCCACCAGAGTTCCCTGTGGATCACATTTATTTGGAAAAGATACACTTAGCGATCTCTTTGTCAGTTGTCTGGTAGTTTTTTCCAAATTTTTTTGCTTGGATGATTAATCACTTGTAGCATTGTATCACTTTGTTGAAACATCTCAATTTCTAATAACCAAAACCAAACCTGTTGCCATCAAGTTGACTCCAATTCATAGCAATCTTGTAGCACAAAATATAGTTGTCCTCTAGGATTTCCAAGGCTGTAAATCTTTACAGATGCAGACTTGCATCTTTCTCCCGTAAAGCAGCTGGTGAATTTGGACTGCTGGCCTTTTTGGTTAGCAGTCAAATGCCTTAATCACCCAAATTTGGGGCTCCAAATTTCTAATAGGGCAGTCAAATCTAGTGAAAATTATAGTCTCTAGCTTAATAGATTATTTTGCTGCCCTTTACATTGTTGACCACTTGCTCTTTTAAATTTTATAATCCGTTAGTTATTTGACATCACATTGCTTATTTCCCTTCATTTTCTCTAAGCAGTCCTCTGGATCTCATTTGTAGATTTCTTCCTAATTAAACCTCAGTGTTCCTTCAGTTTCTTTCTTTTTCTTCTTAATTTTCTTGTATAATCACATTTACATTTGTGATATTAAATGCCATCTGTATGCTGGGAACTTTCATATTGTTATCTGTTTATCTTACTATATAATCTTGCCTTTCTCAATTTTTTTTATATGTTTTATTGTGCTTTGAACAAGAGTTAACCGAGAGAATTGGTTTTTTTTCTTTTATTATTTTGTGTGTGTGTGTGTACCATCAAATCAGATCCGACTGATACAGGAGGAGATTGTTCCTCCTTCTCCAGCAGAGCATCTGGTGGATTTGAACCACGCACCTTGGGGATTGTAGTACAATTTCTTGCCACTAGGCCACCAGAGCTTGCCACCTTTCTCAATTTTTAACGAAGTTTAATGGTTTTGGTTTTTAATTATCTAGCCATGTTATTACCATTTGTTGAGTACTGTAAAAGTGACAGCATATGTCAGAAGTCCTCTGACTTCAGAAGGGTGGAGGAGAATAAGCATCAGCCTAAATCTGATGATACCTCAAAGGCAGAGGCCAAGCTCCAACCTTTTTATCAATTGTGACACCAGCTATCCTTCCCATGACCCTCTCTACTTTTTTACTAAAGTAGATAATTCATTGCAGTGGCTACACAGAAGTTATAAATTATATTTACACTTAAGGATTTATTAGGAAAGTATGGTCTTTGCAATCACTTGTTATGCATTGGAGAGTTGGACAATGATTAGGGAGGATAGAAGGAGAATTGATGCCTTTAAGCTGTGGTGCTGGAGAAGAGTATTGAATATACCATGGACTGCCAAGAAAACAGATTCATCCTGGAGAGCATTAAACCAGGCTGCTCCTTGGAGGCAAGGATTCTGGGGCTTCGTCTGACATACTGTGGACATGTTGTAAGGAGAGACAGGTCCTTGGAGAGGGACATCATGCTTGGGAGGGTGGAGGGATGGCATAGGAGGGGAAGACCCTCTCTGAGGTGGATTGATTCAGTGACTGGGGTAATCGGGATGGGTGTGTCAGGGGCGGTGCGATTGGCACAGGATAGAGGAGGGTTTAGGGCTGTTGTACATAGGGTTGCTATGAGTCGCAAGCGACTTGACGGCACATAACAACAAGCTCAGGATCAAGAAGCATATTGGCAAAGTTTTCCGTCTTCAGTGAAAGACAGCCCTCTTATTTTTCACAATTCTATTAAGATGGGCTTTCTCTCTGAGCCCTCAACCCCAAATCTGGTCTGTCCTCTGCTCTGCTTGGGCAAGTGTACAAAGTTATTTAGACCTATGCCCAGATGTGCCCTGCTCTGCCAGAACATCTCCTACCTGAAGACTCTTGAGTTCTCACTTCATGGGCCAGGAAGCCCACTGCACCACTTCCTGCTTTCTGCTGTCTAGTGTTGGTCTCTTGATTCTGCTACTGCTATGCTTCGGCCATCCTTGCCACCACGTCTCACTATCTTACACCATTTCCAGTGTTATAGCTCTCTGTCACTTGGGTCTGGGAGTTTCTTGGCACAACCATTCTGCATTCAAAAGACGTGTTCTTCTTAATGACCCTCCAATTCAGTCACTGGCTGTGACTCAAAGTGACCCTGTGTTCTATAGAACCAAAGACTGCCTGATTACTTCAGCCTATTCCACCCTCACAAACTTTGCTATGCTTAAGTCTACTGTTGTAGCTATTGGTTCTATCCATTATATTGATTTTTCTCAGTTACTTTCTGTTTTACCAAGCCTGTTGTCATTCTCCAAAGACTAGCCCCTCCTGGTAATATGCTCAAAGTATGTGTGAAAAATTTCCTCTAAGAGAGACCATTTTCACTTCTAAGAAGTGGTTTTTTTTGTTTTTTTTTTAAATTTTTTTTTTATTATTTTGTGTGCATGTACCGTCAAATCAGATCTGACTGGTACAGGAGGATATTGCGCCTCCTTCTCCGGCAGAGCATCTGGTGGATTCGAACCGCGTTCCTCTGGGATTGCAGTGCAGCTTCTTGCCACTAGGCCACCAGAGCTCCCCCCTAAGAAGTGTTTCGGATGCACTTCTTCCAAGATAGTTTTATTGGCTTTTTTGGCAGTCCATGGTAAGTTCAATATTCTTTGCTAATACCATTAGCAAAGAGAAATGATGATAGTTATGGAAAGGCATTAGGTCTTTTGTTCATAGAGTTGCTATGACTTGCGCTCAATTCGATGGCAGTCAACAATAACAATGCCATAGTTCTAAGGCATTGATTCTTATTCATTCTTTCTTATTCATTGTTGAACTTTCACATGTATATGAGATGATTAGAAATACCATGATTTTTTGGATCAAGTGAATGTTGGTCTTTAAAGTGACATCCTCTTCTTTAGCAATTTAAAGGGGAACCTGGCAGCAGATAGACCCATTGCTATATAGTGTTTGATTTCTTGACTGCTGCTTCCATGGATGTTGATTGTGGATATAAGTAAAATGTAATCCTTGACAACTTCAATCTTTTTTTTTTAATTTTTATTTTATTATTTGTGTGTGTGCCGTGTACCGTCAAATCAGATCTGACTGGTACAGGAGGAGATTGTCCCTCCTTTCCCGGCAGAGCATCTGGTGGATTCAAACCGTGCTCCTCTGGGATTGCAGTGCAGCTTCTTGCCACTAGGCCACCAGAGCTCCCCGACAACTTCAATCTTTTAAAAAATTTTTTTTTC